AAATACTACCAATCAATTATATATATATATATATATATATATATATATATTTGATGAGTACAAATTATTATATATAAAAAATTAATTTAGTACAAGGCTACAAATATTTATAATCAATTAAAAGTATTAATTAAGAAAATAGAATACAAATTATTATATTAAATCCAAATGATGTCTTAAATCTTGCCCCAATCTTTAACATCGTATGGCTACGTGATTAGGGATGTCAAAACGACTATTTGTTCGTGAACGGCTCCTGGTCGGCGCGCTTCAATTTAATTTTAACGAGTCAATTTCAAAATATAAACGAGCCGAACACGAGCTAAGCCTAAGCCTAATATTGTATGCTATCTCGAAATATAAACGAGTCGAACACGAGCTAAGCCTAATATTGTATGCTCCGTAATAGCACCATTTCGACACTTCTCTCTCTACTTAAAAACATAAGAGCTGAGCGGCATGCATGCAAATCTTCCAAAATGTCATCACATAATGTATATAGCTATGTAGTGAATTGGAAGAACATACTAGAACGCCTTCGATATTGACACGGGGATTGCCAGGAACGGAGTTCTTGTAGAGGATGTAGGTGGCAAGAGCGGGGCCAATTTTGCCAATGTACGTTTGCCCGGCGATGTAGACGTCGCTATTCTTATACTCTGGGAACCTCTTCATCCACTCCAAAATGAAATGGTACATTTCGGAGATAATCCAATACTCTTGACTTCCATACATGTCTTTGTTGTAATCGTCTGAGAAAGCAAACCCCACCCCCGTCGGTCCGTCCACGAACAAAATGTTTGCAACTGTAACACGAAGAAGAAGAAGAAGAAAAGATTCATGTCATAATTTTTCGACAAAAATTTTATGCAACCCTCTATTCTTCACGCCCGAGATTTAGGACCCAACAATGACAGTGTTCAGAAGAAAAAGAAGATAAATGATTTTAATAATTATATAGTGTTTAGGTCATTAGAGCATATTACTAACATTTATTCCATGAATATGGGTTAGGGATGAGAGTCTGGCCATCATCCTCAACATGGTAAGGACCGACTTGCTGGAAGCATGAGAGTAAAGATGAGCCCGGACCGTCGATTTCTGCATTAACGAGAAAAAATTATCAAGTATGGATAACATACGTGCAGATAGCTGTGAATTTGATAGTATTTGTCAATATTGTGGTAAAATAACATCATAATAATATCACAATAATATCATACTTATTAAAAAAATTGAAGAAAATGGAATGGAGGTTACTCTGGGAGCTAATGTAGATCATTAAAGGCTTGGATACCGGTCGAATATCATCAGCCTCCACAAAATAGTAAAAATAGCGCCGGTTTACTACTGGCTCTGCAACAATATATCCTGAGTACTGACGAAACTCTACACCTTCAGGCTGATTCGGAAGCTCATCAATCAAATCAGCATCCTTGAGCAAAACTTCACTGTCACTACCGCCGCCGCCGCTGCCGCCGCCGGCGAAGCCCGCCGGAAGAGAAGATGCGGCGAGGAGGAGGAAGAAGAAGAAGGAGGAGAAGAACAGAGCTTTGGATTCCATCTCTGCGCTTAGGGACGGGGAGCAAAATGGCTCATTTAAAAAGAACAGATTTGTTGTTCTAACAAATTGCTTTCTTTTTAGGAAAAAAAGGTGGGATTTTTGTTCGGGAAACTTAAACTGATCTCAACAATGGGAGCGATATTTGGTTTGTTTGGAACATGGGAGGAGTGTGCGTTCGTTGCTGAAATGAGTGGAGGAGGAACAGTGGGGATGGTGCATTTGCTTGCATGCCAAACAACTCTTATCTATTTGCATATCTGACCGTTTAAATTATTGTTTTACATTTCATGACAGTTAAATCCTTAATATCAAGGGAAAAAAGGAGAAATTTTTTGCATTATTAGAAGGTCTGTTTCTTATTTTATTAAGGTTGGATTAAACCTCATAGTCCTGTAAGCCGGCTCGAGCTCTCAAAATTAAGCTAGAGTGTCAACTCGATCTCAATTAATTAATCAAATTTAAGCTCTTATCATACTCCTAAATCTAACAAATTTAAACATAGTTAATTTAATTTCATTCGCACAATATATATATAATTCAATCATACCTTTTTTTCAATTTACTTCTATTTACAAATTTAATTTTTTAGTTAAAAATATTAGTTATTATAGAATGATTTTGATAGGGATTTTAATTACAAAATAGCTCATTCCAAGGTCTTGAATAAAGGAATTATTGTATATCAAAAATGCCTTGAGCTTCACTAGTGCAATTAATTCTAACTTATTTTTTTTACAAGGATGATAAATGTAATACGATATTCTATAATTGTTCATAGCGGCATAAGAAATGCTCGTTGTTCACGAATGTTTGGTTCATTCGCTAAGTAAATGAAGTGAATACAAACAGTTCTTTGTTTGCTAGCTATAAATAAAAAAAAAATCATATAATTATTATATAATAATATATTATATATATTTATATCTAACTTTAAATCATAACAGCTCTTATTTTAATGTGGTTACATACCTTTTTTGTATACAGTTGGTCCACGTTTGAATCCATTCTTCAACATCTATTTTTTTCAATTAATTTTAATGAGTCAATTTTGAGTCAAACACGAACAAAAATATTTAAAACGAGCCGATTTTAAATACGAGAAATTTCAAATGAGCCGAACACAAGCCAAGCCTGAACTCGCTCAAGCTCAGCTCCTTTGCAACCCTAATTGTTCATACCTTTTTAGAATCAAATAACAGATCCCTTCATCATTGATAATGTTTTGAGAAAGTAAAACATCTCAATAAAAATTTATATTAGAAATTAATTTATGACAGACGAGATTTAAAATTAAGTGATTTAAATATTATTTTTTTCATATGAAATTTAAACACTAATTATAACAATTATTATTATAATAATAAAAAAAATGTATCAAGATTCAAATTTTGATTTGTTTTGGACCGTACTCACCCACTTCCTACATTGGAGGACTATCATTTGCTACGAGCCGTGGCACCAGATTTATGGTCATGGCTTGCCGACCTGAAAGGGGGTCTTCATCATAGCCAAGTCCTTCATTACAAATAGCAGCCTATCTTTTCCTGAATTTGTGTGAATTGATTAATTTCCCTTTTAATATTTTTGTATGTAAATATTAACTTTCAGATCTTAGATATATAAATACATAAGAATTGTGGTATTTAAGCAATTTCTCAGTTATATAAACCCCTGCATTTGCTTCAATTTATGTAATACTTGCAGCCAAATAACCTCTAAATAAAACTGCATTATATAGTGCAAACAGCAAAGGCATCTCTGACGTAAAATAAAGATGGAGATCCTGAAAGAACCAAAACACAGCTAACAATTAGATTAGAACTCATCTCTGATTTCGCAAGAAATATCAATTTATAGCCACCAGCAATTAACATTTTGCAGCAGCTAAATGATACAAAAAAATTTGACAGAATGGTGCTTGCATGAGCTGAAATTTGGCCTATCTGTAGCGCTGAGAGACTCACCTCATGATGTGTTTTTAGACAGGCTGAATTCTGACAATCTTACACATTTACCATTTTGGCTGAGGTGCAAA